TTGAGTTTTAGTTCATTATAAAATGGAAGCTTAACAAATACTGTGATAATAACTTACGCTGAGAATGAACCAGCAAGTTAGTGAGGAAGATGTCTTTTATGTTAGTTTTGTGCAGTTCAGTTATTTAGTTTGAGTTTCTTCCACTTCAGTAGTAAAATCTCGTCTTTGCAGACACAGCTGATGGAATCAGCCAAACTTACAATAAAACTAATGACATATTATTTAAGTTTCACTATTACAATGTAAAATACAAAGTTTGAGTTGGAACATGTTTAGAGACAGAATTTGTTTTGTGAAGATTTGATCAGTTAATGTGAGCACGATGTGTGTAATGATTCTTTTACATTTGCTGGTATGCCACAGTCCACCCTTCCTACTCAGACCTTAGTGTGTGGCTTCCTGTCCCTCCCTGTTACCTAATAGGCAGATGATATCATTTGACCAATAAAGATCGATGTTTTCGACTTAAAGTAGTTTTATGTACATTACACAATGTTTAAACTAGAATATTGTAAAATGAAAAACTAAAAGCTCTTTTTCCTGCTGCATTAATCTTAGTTCCTTTAAAAAACATGAGCCTTTTCATTATACAGCATTCTGTTTTTCTTTGATTTAACAATACATTGTTACTTTCTCACCATACTGACTCAAAAAACTCAGTAGTGTTTGTGTTTTGTCACTCCTTTCCCTTACTGTTTTTTTTAAAACACCATTGGAACATTCCGTTATAGTAAATCTACTCTCTCTTGGTGAGTATTTAGGTTGTTAGCAGTTGCTTGAGTCTTTCTATAGCCAAACAAATACACTTTCAAGTCAATACTGTTAAATTTCCCTCCACGGGATCATCCAGTTTATATTTGTTATTGGGGGCTCTGTGAGCGAAGATAGGGTTTGACTTTTCCCAGACATCTTGACTGATGGCCCTGTTTCTTTTCCTCAGTGAAGTGTATTTGTCATCTGTATAGGCTCCCTGCCTCCCCATTTCCCTTTAAAAACATCCTTAGCATAATTTATGTATAATACATGCTGTTCTTTTTTTTTTTTTCTTTTGGCTTTTTGTTTTTTTCAAGACAGGGTTTCTCTGTGTAGCCCTGGCTGTCCTGGAACTCACTCTGTAGACCAGGCTGGCCTCGAACTGAGAAATCCACCTGCCTCTGCCTCCCAAGTGCTGGGATTAAAGGTGTGCACCACCACCGCCCGGCTCATGCTGTTCTAATATTCCCTTTTCACTGAAATTGCACTGGAAAAAGTAGTTGAAGGAAAACAACTGGGTTTTACATGATAATGGTCTGAGTGGATTTCTCAGCTCTGTTGAGTTAGCTTAGTGACTTCGGAAGAGTTATTTAAAACTTTTATTTTCAGTTTCTTCACATTGGCAAAATGGGAATAATTCTGATTGGCTATAGCTTACAAAATTTTGACCCAAGTGACTAACTTGCGTGCCACAAGCACAATTATGTTAGGAAAACGTTTCTTTGATTTTTGAAAGTGCATGGGCTTGAGTAAGCAATGAAACTACTTTGTTTGGAAAGCCATCTTTGAAATGTTTTGTGATGTATAAACTGTGCTATTAGATGATAGAAATAAAGCTGTGTGCTATTATGTAGAAAGGAGTTTGAGTCAGTTTCTTAATTATGTGCCCTGAGACTCTTGATCTACCTCCTGCCCCAGTCTTCTGAGTGCTCAAGTACAGGCATGTGGTGCTGCATGAAAAGAGGCTCCTTTCCAGCCATTGAGCCGTGGTGCACACTGTGCGACTGTTTAGTGTAGCAAGTATGGAGTTAATCAATCTTGATGCTATAAGTGACAAGTGGGGCTTTTTTTTTTTAACCAAAATTTCTTTTATATAAAGTATTAAAATACAATTACTTTTCTAAAATGAGATCATAGGTATATAGTTGTATTTATAAGTAAGCTAAGTCAAAAGCTGTATAATAAAGAGAAGCAACAGTGCAGCAAATACAAGTTTGAATGAAGACACTGAATTCCCACATTTTATCAAGCATCATAAAGCACCAGTTTTAGACTGTCTCTTGTATATTAGTCTGTATTCACATTCCTTGCATCTGACTTGATCCCTGGATTTTATTTCATTTTCAGTGTGATACTCTCCACAAACGTATATATTATCATATGTTGTCAGCTGCTGCTTTGGGGGTTGAATGTCTGTCTGAGTGTCCGCTCCTGTTGCCTCTGAAGCTCGAAGAAGCTCCACTTGCCACAGACAAGTGGAGCTTTTAGGAAGAAATTTCAAGAATTTATTTTAAATTTTATTTTATATGTAGTTGATAGGCATCTATATACTTTATATACTTAAACAGATTTTTTTAACTTGGTAAGAACACCTATAAACATCCAAAGGAAAATGGATTTAATGGCATATGCCTATAATTCCAGCACTTAAGAGGTTGAGACAGAAGACTTAAATTTGAAGCTAATCTGGGCTACCTAGTTAGACCCTGTGATGAGAAACCAAACCAAAACATGATAAAATACCAAAGGATTGAGACTGAAGAGCAGGTAGCCTGTGCAGGCAGCAGGCTGTCTCTTAGAATGTTTGCTTCAGAGTTCTAAAACTTCCTAAACCGAACTTTGACCTGGAAAAGTCATGAACACAGTGTTGAAAGGTTCTGGAAGCTGCTGGACATTTGGTGTGAGTTGGAGAGAGGTGATTAGCAATAACCTACTTTATCTCCTGACTTCTGGGGCAGTGTGCCTTCTTGAAGAGTAAAGCATTGATTTAGTCTTTGAGAAAATTGTTTGAAAAGTGGTGTTGGACAAGAAAAATAGTTTTAAAAATTATAAACCATGCCAAGAATGCTGCCATATAGCTCTCCTCTGCCCGCTATGTATGTGTATGCATTCATGTGTACCCACTGACACGCAGACAAATAAATGTAGTTTTACAAATTAGGAAAAATAATAACTTACAAGACAGTTCTCTGTAAGTGAACTAGAGAATAACTGTAGCTCCAGACTAGATACCTAGACTATCCCCCAAATGATGGGTTGTGCATCAGTAAAATGCATGTTGTGCAAGCGTGAGGACCTGAGTCCAATCTTGAGAGCCCATGGGAAAGGCTTAGTATGGTGTCTGCCTGTAATCCAAGTGCTGGAAGGCAAGACTGGAAGATCCCTAAGGTTATTTATTGGCCAGCGGATTGACCTCACTGAATCATTGAGCCCTAGTTCCCAGTGAGAAAACCTCTCAAAAAATAAAGTGGAGAGTTGTTCTAGTTAGGGTTTGTTTCTGTTGCTGTTATGAAACACCATGACCAATAGCAACTTGAAGTGGAAAAGGTTTAATTGGCTTATGTTTCCACATTGCCGTTCTTTATTGAAGGAATTCAGGACAGGAACTTAAGCAGAGCAGGAACCTGGAGGCAGTAGATGATACAGAAGCCATGGAAGGGTACTGCTTTCTGGCTTCCTCCTCTTGGCCTGCTCAGCCTGCTTTCTTACAAACCTATGACTACCAGCCCAGGAATATCCCATCCCACAATGGTCTGAGTGCTCCTCCATCAGTCACTAATTTAAAAAAAAAAAAAAAAGCCTTATAGCTGAATATTTTACAGGTATTTTCTCAATTGAGGTTTCCTCCTTTCTGATAATTTTAGCTTGTGTCAAGTTGACATAAAACTGGTCAGCACAAGAGTTAATAATAACTACATTCCATGTCTAACTGGCGTACTTACATACACACACACACACACTTGCATATGTATACTGCAAGAGCATGTGCACATAGACATAAATGTGCAGACAGTTAGTTGCACTAAAGAATGTTGTCTTACTAGAGATGGTGGTATACCCTTTAATCCCAGCACTCAGGAGGTAGAGACAAGTAGATCTCATGAGTTTGAGGCCAGCCTGGTCTACAGAGTCAGTTCTAGGACCGCCAGGGTTAAATAGAAAAACCTTGTCTTGAAAAACAAAACCAACCAAACAAACAAAAATAATTTGCTAATGAAATGAACTAAATGAAAATGAACTAATGAAATTGGAACTAAAATCCAAGGTGATTTTTTTCATTGTATTGCTCAGCTTGCTTTGAATATTTCTCCTACCTTAATCTGATCTTTTCTAGTAGCTGAGATTGTAGATGGCATATTATTCCAAACTTGACTTGAGGTCAAACAGTAACTCTTTATTACAGTGGCTGTGATTTGACTGTGGCTTCACAAAGTGCATTCAGGGGAGAAACAGGATCACATTAGGAGATAGTGTTCTTTTTTTCTTTTTTTTTGGGGGGGGGGGGTTGAGACAGGGTTTCTCTGTGTAGCCCTGGCTGTCCTGGAACTCACTCTGTAGACCAGGCTGGCCTCGAACTCAGAAATCTGCCTGCCTCTGCCTCCCAAGTGCTGAGATTAAAGGCATGCAGCCACCACCACCCGGCAGGAGGTAGTGTTCTTACTGCAGCTTTTCACTGGCTTTTTGCCAGGCAGACCTTTCTTCTTCAAGTTCACTTGAGTGGGCTACATTCATTTTCCTACCCAAGGTTTTGTTATTCTTTTCCTGGAGCATACACTTCTGTCTCTTTTCCCTGATTCATACAAGTTTCCTTTACGTTCTCCTTAGAAAGGTGACTCCTTCAAAAATAAATTCCCTGGATCTACTCTATTCCTCCCACACCAAAAACCACTGACTTCAGGCAGCCTGGCCAGCTTTTCTTTATTAAACTTCCTGGGATATTTATCATGGCTGTAATTATATTTAATTACAATAGATTTTTAATTAATTGTTTATAATCTGGATGTTTTTATCCCTTTCTGATGGATATCTAAGTAGGTCCACTGATGTCCACATCCTAAAATTCCCTAATGGAACTAAACTCCAGCATATTTGGTCAAGCTGATTGTACAGTGGAGAGTCTTTTTTTTTTTCTTCCCCAATCTGGTTTTATACCATTTTATTTACATGCAAGTATTAAGGTCAGTTCTAGGTTGAGGAACTAACAATACAGTAGGTGCAAATAGTCAAGGAACAAGCAAGGCAATTAAAAAAATATGGAACGTTTCACAAATTTACATATCATCATTCTTTCGTAGGGGCCATGCCAGTCTTCTCTGTACTGTTCCAATTTTTAGTATATGTGCTGCCAAATCAAGCACGACTTTTTTTTTTTTTTTTTTTAATGTCAAATAAATGCAGGTTTCTCAGTAAGAGAGGTGAGCATCTCTTCTTTTTTCTTTGTGATTTTTCCAGGCAAGGTTTCTCTGTGTAGCCCTGGCTGTCCTGGAACTCACTCTGTAGACCAGGCTGGCCTCGAACTCAGAAGAACTCAGAAATCCACCTGCCTCTGCCTCCCAAGTGCTGGGATTCCACCACTGCCCAGCGTGGGAGGTGAGCATTTCAGCAGTGACTTTGGAACATAAAGAGTTTCATTGAGAGTTTTTTTTTCTTTTGGTAAAAAGGCCTTGTCTGTCTGTAGCCTAAGATGTGACCTAAGGTGTGGAAAGGCAAGGGCAGCAATAGAAGTGTTTCACAGTTGTGTTGGGGTTGTGGGGTGTGGGACTTAAAAGATTCCCTTTCCTCTGTATGGCTCCCTGTCAACAGTAAATCATTCAGAAAAGTGAGGTGTATTTAGAAAGTAGTTGCATGCTTGTAATTCCAGCACACAGGAGGCTAAGGTGGGGAAGTTAGAAGTCTGAAGTTCATTTTGATGATATAGCAAGGTACTATGGCAAATAACAAAATAATTTATACTTGTGGGATTTAGTTTTGTCCTGGCTTGAACCCAGGATGTACCTCTGAAATGCTTTTCCAGAGGATCAGGGTTTAATTCCCAGCATCCACATGGTATAGCTCATAACTGTCTGTAACTCTAAGATATGATACTCTAACACAGACATACATATGTTCAAAATACCAATGCACATAAAATAAAAATAAATAATTAAAGAAAAGGAATGATACTGTTTTTCTAGAGCATTTGAGTTTGGTTACCAGCACCCACAACCACCTATAACTCCAGCTTCAGGATTCCCTGTGTGATAGTAAAAATGTATACTAATGTCTTATAGCTGACTTTATTAATTATGATAACCTTTAGGAAGCATGTGTTGTAAATAGCTATCTGTATTGAAAGTATTTCTGACACATACCTCCTATGAATTTTACTGTAGTAATGGTCTGAGCTCGTGTGTGTGTGTAAGTGAGAGAGGGAGCTGCACATACAGATGTCATCTCAGCATTTACCAGTTTTTATTGGGGACTTTTCCAGAAATTTTGATCCAGTCCCCAATAGGATGTTGTAAGTTGTAATGCTTTGAATGGAGTAGAGCTGTAAGTATTGACAGGAAACACTTTTCTTGCAGATGCTTCCTTGACAAGACCACTGCACCATCAAGCCTCAGCTTGCCATCACTCTCATGGAAATGCCCCTCCTCAGACTCAGCCGCCCCCTCAAGTGGATTATGTGATTCCGCATCCTGTCCATGCTTTCCATTCTCAGATATCTTCTCATGCAGCGTCTCACCCTGTGGCACCGCCGCCCCCAACTCATTTAGGCAGTACAGCTGCACCCATCCCTCAGCATCTTCCTCCTGCTCACCAGCCAATTTCACACCATATTCCAGCCCCAGCACCTTCAGCCCAGAGACTGCACCCTCATGAAGTGATGCAGAGGATGGAAGTTCAGAGGAGGAGGATGATGCAGCATCCAACGTAGGTCTTGTGGCTTTAAGGGAATTTTACTTGCTTTTCTTCATATTCCATTGATCTTTCAAGTATGAAATGTTTTTCATTTTAAAACTAGGTTTCATTGTATATGTCAGATTGGCCTTGAATTTTTAAACCTCCTGCCTTTGTCACATAGTGCTAAGATATATACCATCACACCTAGTTGGGGGAAACAAATGAAACATAGCAAAACAAAGCAGTGTGGCTTTAGTAAATCTTCAGCTTAGGAAAAACCTTTTTTTGTTTTTGGTTTTTGGTTATGCTGGGCATTGAATCCATGGCCTTGTACCTAGTAGACAAGGCTTTATCACTAGAGTCTCTGGTATTGGGGGTGAAGATGCCACAGGGTAAGATGCTTTCCAGGATACACAGAAGAAATCCTGTCTCAGCCCACAAAAAAAGTTCTTTTATAAATGAGTGTAGCAAAATAAAATCTTGCTATCCTGTTTTATATGTTTATATGATATATCTAACTGGTTTGTACATATGATATGACATTTGGTTTTAGTTGTTTAAGATTTTAAAGTTGTATTTCCATTCTACTATTCTAACTAAAATATATATTGGAGAAGTTTCAAGGAAACGTGAAAATTACCTTTCTCATGGAATTCTTTTTTTTTTTTTTTTTGCTGTTGTTGTGTTTTGGTTTTGAGACAGGGTCTCACTCTGTAGATCTGCACTTATTAGAGACCCAGCTGCTTCTGCTTTTGACTCCCAAGTGCTGGGATTAAACGTTTGCACCACTATTCCTAGTTTAGGGATGATATTTAAATTAGAGATATTAGAATAAATGAGTAGCAAGTTTTTATAGAGAGTATCGTAGACTTTTTTATTTATTAATAGTTTTTAATACATGTTTCTTAGTGTAAATTAATTTCATGATTATTTATAGATTTTCATAATATAATAGGTTTTTTTTCCTACATTAAGAAATAACCAATTATTCAATTATTTCCAGTGGTCTTTTTGTGTTCTGTGTTTCCAGGCGGGCACATGAACGGCCCCCGCCCCATCCACATAGGATGCACCCAAACTATGGCCATGGGCATCATATTCATGTGCCTCAAACCATGTCTTCACATCCTCGCCAGGCTCCAGAGAGAACTGCCTGGTTAGTACCTTCCTTATTTCAAATTGTGCTAAGCTGTGTGAAAAGACAGCTCGGCTTGGGGTAGTCATCTCTGCGTGATAAGACCCAGAAAGAAAGAGCAAAATCTTGAGTTCTGAGGCAGGAGCCACTTGACTCAGGGAAAGAGCTGTTGGTTTTGTTTGGTTTTATGTCAGATAATAATTGTGTGGACTGGGTTCATTATAGAAGAAGGATCAACTCAGGTTAAGTAGTGTATCTATACCTCAGTATTTATCATTTCTCTGATAACATATAAAATCCCCCTTTTAATCAGTTTTGGATATCTATCTATTGCTGCCAATTCAGCCACCAGGACACACTGGAGAAACCCAGAACTTAGTGCTGTTGAACTGAATGTTTGTCTCTGTTGACCACTCTGTGCTTCCTTCTGCCCACACTCCAGCTCTCCACAGCCGAGCTGGACTTTGACAGAGTCCATAGATGGGAGGCTAGAGCTTTTCCTGTTTGCCTGAGTGTCTGTCTCTGAGGTCAGGCTCACAACCCTGCTTTTGCTACCTCCTTGTCATGTTTGTGTTTGCCATACCTGCAGTGTCTACCATTGAAAGGAGAAATCTAGTTTGTGTTCTAGAGAAATTAAATAGGTTTGCTTAAAGTTTTCCTTTTAATCAGCTTGCTGCAGTTACTGTAACAGAGTACAGAGTGGGAGTAAGGAAGTGGACCCCTTAAACCATTTCTGTTCTTGCATGATCTCCACTCTGGCTTTTAGGCATTGAAGAGTTTTTAGATGTAGAAGCTCTTCTAATTGTCACTGACACCAAGAGCCCAGCCAACACACACAAACCTGGGGAGCATGTTTCACATTCAGATGAGCCAACTGAGTCAATTCCATTTGGTGTGGTCCTTGAGGAGAGCCAGGTCCCTGGTCAGAAAAAATCCGAGGAGCCACACATCATCTTTTCTTCCTTTTGTGACTGAATAAAACTGATTTGAAATGCTCTCCTGCTTATGCTCACAAGATGAAGCTTTTTGAACATTTGCTTCTGAAATGTTCTTAAAATTATTAGTAAAATCGGGGGCAGGGGGTGCTAATTCTATTCGCTTTAGCTTTATAAGTTAAGAACCTTTAGAGGATTTTTGAACTATAAGTCTGTTTCCACTTCTGTTGGCACTAAAGAGACTGTAAGGAAGACAAAAACTTAAAGTGCTCTCCTTCTTTCTCAGGGAACTGGGGATTGAAGCTGGAGTAACTGCAGCTACCTACACACCTGGTGCTCTGCACCCTCACTTGGCCCATTACCATGCCCCGCCTCGACTTCATCACCTCCAGTTAGGAGCACTTCCTTTAATGGTAAAGTGGGAATTTTTAATATTATGAAACATTTGCTTCAAAAGTAACATCTTTTTTCTAATTAAGTGTTGTATTAAAATATTTAGGTGAAGTAGACGTTTTGCTAGAATTTTGGAATAATTCTAATTAGCCAGCTGTTTTATAAAGATACATATATTGAAATCTGGGTTTGTAATTTGAATTATAAAATACACTCTTGATGTACAAAATGCCAAGTAGGCTTTTCTGCACACCGAGATGACCATGACCTGCTGTCACTGAGATACATTGGTACATTGGTGAGTTTGCCATCAATGGATTGGATCTGTTTTGATGCCATCAGTAGTGTACCTGCTTCTCATTGACAGATGCAGATTTTGTTGTTACAGTGTTAAAAAAACCATTTGTAATACTAACTACAGACATGAACAGAAAAGAAAGTACTCTGTTATAGGGAGAGGCACTGCAGAGAGGCTCATTGTCCCTTGTGCAATGCATCTTTGGACTTTGGGGTGCTGCTTTTGCAGAAGTCAAGGCTGATGAGGAGCTGTCAAACAAGAACAAGCACTTTGAGTCCATGTAAGCTAGTGTTTCCAGATACACTGCTTGGGGCAGCCCAACCAGAGAGCATTTTTGGCCCAGCACTCATGAACTCATAAGCCTGTATTTAGCACCAGTGAGAGAGGGAGACAGACAGAGATGGAGACAGGGGGAGAGGGGGGCGGTGGACGGATACTACTGACTCTCAGTCAAATGACAATAACTGCCTCCAAAGCTGAGAAACAAAGCAAGAGTTTTTTTAAAAACTTGTATGGTCAGTAGTATCTGATCACACAAAAGAATAAAGTCTGAAAGTGTTGACATTGGAATGGATTTTTTTTCAATAGTATAACTAACTGGTAAGAAGGGAGATGGTTACATTTTCTTTCCTTCCCTCTGTCTCCTTCCAATCTCCTCCTTTTTTTTTTTTTTTTTTTTTTTTTGAGGTAGCAGAATTGAACTGATGGTCCTGT